CTTTCTGGTAGTCTCGGCTTTCAGCCAAGATCTGGCTGATGTCAGCAATGATATCCCTCGTTTTACGTCCTCTTCGGAATCCGGCTTGAACCTCTGGCAGTTCCTTGTCAATGTCATGTTCCAGCCTTTCTGAATTATCTTTAGCAAAATCTCACTTGCATGTGATACTAAAAGATGATGTCCACATTCCATCGGGTCACCTCTCTTTGGAATGGACACAGTTAAGGATCTCTTGCTATCAGTTGACCAGGAAGCTGCTGTCTTCCAAATTTCTTGCCACAGATGAGTGTTTGCCTCCAGTGTTTCATCAGTTTGTTGAAAGATCTCCATTTGTATTCTGTCAACTACTGGAGGCTTGTTTTCCTTCAGTGCAGCATAGATTTCTTCCTTCAGGAGCATTGGACTTTGATCATATGGTACCTCTTAGAATGGTTGAATGTTGACCATTTGTTTTTGATACAGTGACTCTGTGTATACCTTCCATCTTCCTTTGACGCTGTCTGCATCATTCAGTATTTTGCCCATGTTGTTGTTAAGTGCCATGGAGTCGGTACCAACTCATAGAGACCCTGTATAAGGTTTCTGAGGAGCAGTTGGTGAGCTTGAACCACCAAGCGTGCAGTTCAAAGCGACCTTGCAGTCCAGCACATTAACCCACCATACCACACCAGGACTCCTTCAATATGTCAAGTAAGACTTGAATTTTTCCTTCAGTTCTTTCAGCTTGAGAAATGCTGAGAGTGTCCCTCCCTTTTGGTTTTCTAACTCCAGGTCTTCACGCAGTTCATTGCAAACTTGACTTTGTCTTCTGGAGCTGCCCTTTAGAACTTTCTGTTCAGCTCTTTTTACTTCTCATTTCTTACAGATGGTTTTTGTTGTTGTTAAGTACCATTGACCAGTACTAAAGAGTGACCCTTTATAGCGTTTCCAAGGAGCAGCTGGTGGGTTTGAACCGCCAACATTGCAGTGAAAAGTCCAGGGCTTATCCTATAGCACCACACAACACACACTGAAAGCCCCAGTGTGGGACATGCAGCCAGCAGGTTAGACACACGCCTGCCACAGGGCCTTTGCACTGACCGTTCCCTCTGCATCAAGTCCAATATCCACCTGGCTCACTCCCTCACCCTCCTCAGATCTTAGCCACCAGTGGGACTGAAATGCTGGTGCTCAGCTGCAAGTCCAGGGCAGTAAGCGTGAGAGAAAGGATGAGCAGAAGAAAAGGCTGGCAAACATACACAAGATGAGGCGGTAGTGCTGGCTCCTGCTTCACAGGGACACATGGCCAGTCACTTCAGCCCAGGGCCTCCCCAGAGTCTGTGAAAAAGGAATGAGGCGCCCTGCTGATGGCTTGTCCCAGCTCCTCAGTGTTCCACGTGATGTTCACGCGCATCTTTGTTCACAGATGTGAGCTTTTCTTTTATGTTACATAGGGTCATCTCTTTTTACTCTGATTTGGGTGAAGGTTCACAGAGCAACAGTGTGTACACCCTGGGTTTGTGGCACCGTGTGGCGCCCACGAGGCAGCAGCATGTACGAGCATTTGCGGAGTCCCTGCCTCCCGGTGGAAGGGTGTGCCAATGGGCGGTGCCACTGATCACAAAGCCAGCTCCTCCGAGTCGGTTGTGACTCGTGGCGCCCCCATGTGTGTCAGAGCAGAACTGCTCCCTGGGGTTAATGGCTTTGACCTTTCTGAGGCAGATGGTCAGGCTTGTCTTCCGAGGTGCCTCTGGGTGGGTTGAAATGTCCAAACTGCTAGGGGGTCAAGCACTTCACCATTTATACCATGTCAACCCCAAAACTCAAACCACTGCCAGCGAGTCAGTTCCAACTCACAGAGGCCCTCTTGGACAAAGCACAACTGGCCCCAGAGGTTTCTGAGACGGTCCATCTTTACGGGACCAGACAGCCTCATCTCTCTCCCGTGGAGCTGCTGGTGGGTTTGAACTGCTGACCTTGCAGTTATCAGCCCATTACTTAACTTTCTGCACCACCAGGGCTCCTTGATTGACAGGCAGTGGATGGTACAATGTGGAGGACAGTCAGTGTCCACCCACTCTCTTTGAACACTCATATCCTGTCTCTCCTTGGCCAGCAGAACCCAGGAGCCCAACATGAATGGATACGCAGAGTCCCCTCCCAGCCACAGCGACCCTTCCAAGGGTGTGCGGGACCCCAAACCTGGCCAAACCCCGCTCCAGGAAGACGTGGAGATGAGCAGCACGTGCAGCGGAAACGAGTCCAGTGAGAACTGCCGTCCTGGGCAGGGCAGCAAGTGGGACGACACCAAGGAGCTGGGAATGGTGGTGGAAGCGCCTGAGGCCCACCAGGGGTGAGCGCTGGCCCACCGCATGCGCACGGCAGACGGGGCATTGGGGTTTTGCTCAGGTTTCGTCTCCTTTGTGATGTGGTTGTGTTTCTAAACTTTCAATCATGATTCCCAAATCTTTCAGAAAAATCTCATTCATTCGGATAAGAGTCCAAACCCAGCAACCTCTCCGCAGTCCTGCGCAGTGCTCTAAGATCACTTTGAGTCAGACCCATCTTGATGACCATGGGTGATTAGTCGGTTGGTCTTTCCTTAAGGAGTCCTGGTGGCTCTGTGGCTCAGGCATTGGCTGTTAACTCAAAGTTGGCACTTCAAACCCCCCAGTCGCTGTGTGGGAGAAAGAGGAGTCTGTGTGCTCCTGTGAGGATGGGCTGTCTCCGAAGCCTTCAACTGGTCGCCATGAGTCGGATGGGGCTCAGTGGCAGACGGTTTGCTTTGAGTGTTTACTTGTTCACTGAAGGGTTGGAGGGTTGTGTTCACTCAGGCATATTGGAGGAAAGGTCTGGTCATCTCTGCCCAAAAACTCAGCCATGAAAACCCCTAAGGAGCACAGATCTGCTCTGGCACACCTGGGGCACCATGAGTCAATGTCAACTCCGTGGCAACTGGCTTGTCTGTCCTTAATGTGGAGCCCTGGTGGTGCAGCGGGTTAAACGCGGAACTGTTAACCTCAAGGATGGCAGTTCCAATCCACCAGCCACTCTGCAGGAGGAAGATGAGGCTTTCTGCTCCTATAAAGAGTTACAGCCTCAGAAACCCTACCCAGGGTCATTGGGAGTTAGAACTGCCTGTTGTTGTTGTTGTTGTTAAGTGCCGTCGAGTCGGGTCCGACCCATAGCGACCCTGTACAGGGTTTCCGAGGGTGTAAATCTTTACGGGAGTAGAAAGCCTCATCTTTCTCCCGCGGAGCGGCTGGTAGTTTCGAACTGCTGACCTTAAGGTTCGCAGCCCGATTCGTAACCACTACGCTACCAGAGCTCCTTTAGAACTGCCTAGTGGTACTCAATAAATAGCAGTAAGATAAATGGAAACAAGACTGCAGTTGTCAAAGACTTCATTTTGCTCAAATCAGCCATCAACACTCATGGAAACAGCAGTCAAGGCATTAGGCAAATCTGCTGCATAAGAGCAGAGGTGTCAGTTTGAGGACTAAGGTGTCCCTGACCCATGCCATGGTATTTTCAGTCACCTCATTTGCATGTGAAAGTTGGACAATGAATAAAGAAGATGGTGGAAGAGTCAATGCACGTGAGTAATGGGCTTGGAGAAGACTATAGAAAGTACCATGGACTGCCAGAAGAACCAACAGATCTGTCTTTGAAGAAGTATAGACAGAATGTTCTTTGGATGAAGCAAGGTTGGTGGGACTTCATCGCTTGTACTTTGGACATGGTATCAGGAGGGATCAGTCCCTTGAGAAAGACATCATGTTTGGTAAAGTGGAGGGTCAGTGAGAACGAGGAAGCCCTCCTCCCTTCCTCCACCGCCCTCTAATGAGCTAGATTGACGCAGTGGCAGCAGCAATGGGCTCTAACAATAATTATGTGGCTGATGGAGGACCAGGCAGTGTTTTGTTCTGTGGTGGGTGCAATTGCTATGAATTGGGGCTGATTCCATGGCACCTAACAGTGATATTTACAGAAGCAGACTATCCCATCTCTCTCCTGAGGATTGGCTTGTGGGTTTGAACCTCCAACTTTTGGTCTAGCTGCCAAGCACTCAACCACTGCACTAGCAGGACCCTTTTGATGGCCAGTTGTTATTAGTAAGTGCCATCAAGTAGGGCTTCCAAGGAGTGGCTGGTGGGTTTGAACAGCTTACCTTGTGACTAGCAGTCTAGTGCTTGTCTACAACAAGCAGAAGATACTTGTTGGCTATAAAGGGACCGGGTCGATAGAGGACCAGCTCACCCCCACACTGGATGGCTTAAAGAAAGCCAACTGGCCCTGCCATTTTGAATCTCCATCTCCCTCCGCGTTGTCTTTCTGGTCTACGAATGACAATGCCTTTCGAGGTCTATGCTTCTGTTTGGAGTCCTGGTGTGGTGTGCTGTAGGATAAACACAGCACTGCTAACTGCAAGGCCAGTGGTTCAATCCCCCCAGCCACTCCTTGGAAACACTCTACAGAGTTGCTGAGTCAGAACTGACTCAATGGCACTTAGTAACAACAACCTGCTCCGGTCCCAGCCTAAGCTCTCCTCTTGCTCATTCTATTGGCGTTGTATCATTCCTGGACAGAGAGGGGCAGAGAGGGATAGAGATGGGAGGAAGAGTCTCTATCCTTATGACTTTGGCTTTCATTTCTTGTTTCTTTTAGCACTAATGCCTTTAGTCTTATGATGACCAAGTCTGAACACAACCCGTCTACCAGCGGCTGCAGGTAAGGCCTGTTGGTTGTCATTTTCTAAACTTTCTAAACTGCCCCGGCTCACGGCTACCCCATGTGCTACAGAGCAGACCTGCTCCACAATTTGGCGACTTTAGAGAAATCAAAAAATTTTTTTCTTGGATGTTCGTGTTTTGCAGGGGGCTGTGATATTTTTTCAAAGCTTCTACTAAGCATTAGTCTACACAGCTGTTATTGGGGACACAGCCACACCCTGACTTGTCAGAGGTGATCTGGTCCTCTGCCCATCCCCCAAGAATCTTGGATGAGGCAGTGACTCTTAACTGAGCCGTTGGTGCCCAGGGGACATCTGGCTATGTCTGGAGACATTCCTTAGTGTCACACTGGTATCTAGCGGATAGAGGTCAGGGATACTGCTCAGTGTCCAGCAGTTTCACCACAAAGAAGGACCCAGCCCGAAAGTTACAGTGCTGGGTACAGAGAAACTGGGTTGGCGGCACAGGTCTGCAGAATAGAACTCTCTGGAAGCTCACCTCGGCCGCCTCTGTCTTTGTTCCACAGCAGTGAGCAGTCTGGCAAAGCAGACATGCACAAAGAGCTGGCCAAGACCTTGAAGGAACTGAAGGTCCACCTGCCTGCGGACAAGAAGGCCAAAGGGCGAGCCAGCACGCTGGCCACCCTAAAGTATGCCCTGCGTAGCATGAAGCAGGTGAAAGGTAGGTTTGCCTACGTGCTATCCTGGACAGAGACCTGGTCAGCGTCCCCTGAGTTGCGTTGACCTTCTAAATCACTCCTGACAAAGCAGCGTGGACATCTGCAGAAGCCGCACAATGCTGGACACCCACAGCGCCGGGTGGGTTCTGACTCACTGCCACCCTCTAGGATAGTAGAACCGCTCCGTAGGGTTTCTGAGGTGGTTCCTTCACCAAACCAGGCGGCCTCATCTTTCCCCCAGGGAGCTGCTCGTGGGTCAGAACCACCGGCCTTTACCTGACTGTGCCATCCACAGCACGCGGCCCCACCCATTCCACGGCCATTGGTCAATCCCGACTCGCCACGGCCTTTCTAGGACAGAGTAGAACTGTCCCTTAGGGGTTCTGAGGCTGCACATTCTTAAGGAAGCAGACAGTGTCCTCTTTCTCCTTTGGAGCGGCTGGTGGATCTGAACCACTGTCCTCTTTCTCCTTTGGAGCGGCTGGTGGATCTGAACCACTGACCTTTCAGTTAGCTGACACAACCTCTGCACCACCAGGACTCCTCACTAGAACTCTGAGGGCTCTCCTAAACAGAGATGACCCTTCTTCCTACCCTTTCTGATGGCGCATTTCTTGATGAGAGTAAATTCAGAAATCCGCCAGCCAGGGACAGGGTCCTGTAGGAAGGCGTGCTGGAGGGACGTGGTCAGATTCCAGGACGCAGCCTGGGCTCCTCTGCCCTCAGCCCCGAGCCAGGCCTTGGTCCTATAGCAGGCGGACATGGAAAAGTCTCCAGACTTCTGTATGTTAGTCTTGCATTCGCGTGTCTGTGTCTCCGTAGCTCTCGGTCCCCCATGTTCCCACCTGTGCTAACAAGTGTGTTTCTCTTCAGCTAACGAGGAGTATTACCAACTGCTCATGCCCAGTGAGCACCACCTGTCTGGTGCGGATGTGCCATCGTACACCCTTGAGGAGATTGAGAGCATGACCTCAGAGCACATGGTGAAGAACGTGGTATGCACCGCCCCTACGGACCTCCCCCACCCCACGTTCCACTTCTGAGTGGAGTGGGTCCTTCCCACGGGCGCAGCCCAGACACCACAGCCAGGGATGCTAGAGCAGGCTGGGGCGGCATCCCAGGAAGTGAGTTCAGACCTCTGTGACATGGAAGGCCAGTTGTCCCAGAAATCCCAGCCCCAGCTCATAGCCCTCCTGTGACCTGCCTCATCCTGGCCGACTCCAGGTCACACCTTCCACGGGTGTCAGGGATGGCCCTCACCTCCACTGAGCTGGTGTTTCCATTTCTTAGGATGGGATGGGATGAGATGGGTTAACATAGTGTGTGGGAACAGGTGACTTTAGTCATGTCGTGCATAGAGGGGCAGGGGTGGGGACCCAATGGTCCTGGTTACCATAGTAACTGAAAGGTTGGAGGTTCAAGTCCATCAGTGGGGCCTCAGAAGAAAGGCTTGGTGACCTGTTTCTGAAAGGTCAGAGCCCCTGAGAACCTGTGGGGACAGTTCTCCGACACACACAGGGGCGCCATGAAAAATCACTCACTGAGAACCCTGTGGAGACAGTTGTCCTCTGACACACGCGGGGACACCATGAGTGGAATCTACTTATGAAACATCACCCACTGAGAACTCTGTGGGGACAGTTCTACTCTGACACAAACATGGCCACTGAGTCAGAGCCAACTTGACCCCAAGTGGCAGGATCGAAGCTGAGGAGATATGCGTCCACAGGGTCCCTCTGTGGAATCCTCAGGAGGGTGAGAATGTTCAGTCCTGCCCAGTACCTTACCCACGGCCCCCATCTCCCTCCCCAGGATATGTTCGCTGTGGCTGTGTCCCTGGTGACGGGGAAAATCCTCTACATTTCCGACCAAGTTGTGTCCATCTTTCACTGCAAGAGAGCCACTTTCACCAACGCCAAGTTCGTGGAGTTCTTGGCACCTCACGATGTGAGCGTGTTCCACAGTTCCACCACGCCGTACAAGCTGCCAGCCTGGGGCACCTGCAGCGGGACAGGTGAGGCCCACAGGGGGTGGGGACGGCACCCAGGTGAGGGGCTCCTTCTGCCCCTGCCCTCTGAGAGTGTCCACCCCTCCCACCTCAGACAGGCGTCAGCACCCTTAGTGACGAAGAAAAAAGATAAGTTGCCAGTGTCTTCTGAATGAATCTAGAAAGGAATATCGTCTCTTCATTCATTTGAGGAGCCCGGGTGGTGCTGAGGGTTAAGCATTTGGGCTGCTAACTATAAGGTCTGTGGTTCGAACCCACCAGCCACTTTGAGGGAGAAGAGGAGGCTTTCTGTGTCTATAAAGATTAACTGTCTCCAAAACCCTGTGGGGCAGCTCTGCTCTCCTATGGGGTCGCTGTGAGTCATGCTTTGCTCTCCGTTGACATAAATGTAAGAACAGTTCTCTTTCCACGCAGGAGTGCCGTGATCATTCCTAACAGAAGGTATTGTCTAAGGAGGCACTAAGTTTATAGGCACAGTGGTTAAGTACTCCGCTCCTAACGGAAAAGGCTGCCTTTCAAACCCACCAGCGGGTCCGTGGGAGAAGGATGAGGCCATCTCCTCCCATGAAGGACCTACTGCGCTGTTCTTTTCTGTCCTATGGGGTCTCTGAGAGTCAGAAGTGATGGGATGATAGTGGGTATTTGGGGGGAGTTTCATGCATATCAGAGAGGGAAAACGTGTCAGAAAATTCCAAGATGTCTTAAATAGTTTTAGAAACAGTTTTTCCTGAGACGCCGGGGCGTGGCTGCAACCCCACAAGATGTGGGGAAGGTTGGGTGTGGTGGGGAGTCAGTGGGGTGCTCTGGCTCTGACAGGCAGGGGGCACCTTTGCAGCCCCAGGGACCTTCATGAGCAGGTGTTGTGTCTGTGAAACGGGCCTGGTCGTGGTCTTGACCAGGACCCTCCACCTCCCAAGTCAGGCCCCGTGGGAAGGTCACCGGGAGACCGCTGCTGCCCACGCCTCACTTGGAGCTTCAGCACTGGCATCAGTGGACCATTCAGCTTGCCGTGCACGCCCTGAGGACCCTGTGGTCACCAGCAGGTCACTGCGAGGCAGGGACATCACACTGTGGTGTGCCCTCTGCTGGGCAGGTCACCCCATTTCCCTTACATAACAGTTTCCACATGTCCTCGCTTCTGTAGGCTAGAGGAAAGTTTAGATAAAAGTTCAGCATCTAAACTTTCTTTTGAAAACGATTCCTTTCGAGTGTTATGTAAGCATCCATTGCTTCTGAATGACCTCATGACCCAGTCGGCATTGGACACGAGGCATCATTTTGATAGAAAGCGATGTGAGCTTTGAAATGCCCTACATTGTTTCTAGTAGAAATGAGTATCCCCAAAACAGGCAGCTGGAAATTTGTAGGGCTTGAGCCCTGGTGGTGCGCTGGTTAAGCACTTAGTAATGGAAAGGTCGATGGTTCAATCTCACCAGCTACTCCACAGAAGAAAGATGTGACTGTCTGCTTCTGCTAAGATATTTAAAAACAGTAAGCCCATTGCCGTAGCGCTGAATTCTATCTTCTGTTAACCCTACAAGACCAAGCTACTGCCTTATCAGGTTTATCAAGACTGTCATCGCTATGGGGTTCTGGACTGCTAACCACAAGGTCAGCAGTTCAAACCCACCAGCTGCTTCTCAGAAACCCTATACAGGGTCACTCTGGTAGCGTAATGGTTACGAATTGGGCTGCGAACCATAAGGTCAGCAGTTCAAAACTACCAGCTGCTCCGCGGGAGAAAGATGAGGCTTTCTACTCCCGTAAGGATTTACACCCTCGGAAACCCTGTACAGGGTCGCTATGGGTCGGAACCGACTCGAAGGCACTTAACAACAACAACAACAAGGAGTCAGAAATGACTTGACGGCAGTTAACAACAGCAGTTGCTATAATTGTCACATCCTTCTCCTGTGGAGCTGCTGGGTTCAAACCGTTGACCTGATTAGACGGCCAAGCATTTAACCTCTGCACCACTAAGACTCATATGTGTTGTTGTTGTTGTTGAGTGCCATGGAGGCGGTTCCGACCCATAGCGACCCTGTACAGGGTTTCCAAGGCTGTAAATCTTTACAGGAGCAGAAAGCCTCATCTTTCTCCCGCGGAACAGCTGGTAGTTTCGAACTGCTGACCTTGCGGTTTGCAGCCCGACTCGTAACCACTACGCTACCAGAACTCCCTAAGACTTCTATATACGAACTGTATTTTTATAAAGCATTTTACATTAGGAATGTTTACGATATTCCTGATTGGAAAAACAATTCATCCTAAATGTATGTAACAAAGGTCGATTCATGGCAACTCCTCAGGACAGAGTAGAGCTCCCCCATTCGGGTTTCTAGGCTGTTATCTTTACAGAACTGGATTGCCACATTCTTTTCCAGGGGAACCGCCAGTGGGTTCAAACTGCCGACTTTTCAGTTAGTAGCCAAGCACTTACCTACTGCACTGTGAGGGCTCTGTAAAAGGTGACAGCCGTGAAAACCCTGTGGGACAGCTCTCCCTGGAGCTTGGGGTTGGCTGTTGATTAGCTGGTGTCTGTTCCATTTCACAAACTCTGCACGGTGGCTGCAGGCTGTGGTACATTTGCCTTCGAGAAGCCCTGGGACACTTCCCACCAGAGGAGTTGACTTTGTGCTTCTGTGAACCCGTCTGCTGTCCCCCCGGGACCCTGCTCTGCGCCTTTCACTCATCTGGGAGGAACACGGGCACGTCTGTGGTTACTGGCTTCGTGGGAGGAGTGACATGGGACTTTCTCTTTTAGACTCTTTCACTCGAGAATGTATGGAGGAGAAGTCTTTCTTCTGTCGCATCAGGTAAGCCCAGCCCACCGAGTGTCCTCAGCTAGAAGACGGTGCAAACGTGCCCCTTAAACATCTGTCCTAAACAGGGCTCTGTGCCGGTCCAAAGCAGTTCAGCAACTGCAGATCTGAACCAGGGCGTGTGCGCACTGTTGTCTGCGGTACTGTAATGGCCTGTCCGAGACAGCGGCCAGCTGGGCCTGTGGAAATGTGTGCAGTTCTCTAGTTTGAACAATAATCCCATCTCCCGATTCTGACTCCTAGACTTTCGGAGAGCAGTGATCTCAGCCAGACCCTGGCGAGCCAAGCATAGTCCAATAGAAGCAGTCTGTGACCCTCTTAGACAAGATTACAACAATTTGTTTCTTACTCAGATCTCCGTACCACAAGCAACAACTCATACACGACCTCTGTTTACAGTGACACTTGCTGAACCAGTTTGAACCGGCTCCAAAGCCCTCTGGTGGGAGGGTACCAGCGTGGCCTTAGTGGGTGCTCACCCTCCACTCGTCCTGGAGTCTGGAACTAGTGCAGACTTTGCTGAGAGTTTGAGTGCAAACCCGCTTCCACAGTTTCATTTGGAATTTGCACCCACATTGGGAGGGCAGAGCGGTGGGCAGTGAGGCTGAGGAGTATCACCTACACCGTGTGGGCAGACCTGGCCTGTCAAACCTGGACACTCAGGCAGGCTTTTAATGGGAGACCCACAGACCCAATGGTGCACCTGGGCTCTGGGAACTCTTGCAGCCTGGTGTCCACAGGTCTGCTTCTCTGGGGAGTCCTTGACCCCAGCCAGGTGACAACTATGGGCCAGCTGTAATATTGGGAGGCTGGACCTGGAGCCCCAGTATGGGGAAGGTGCTGGGGGATTGAACGGTTAGGTAAGGGCCAGGTTTGGGGCTGCCCAGTGCCCTACAGCTTGGCCAAGACCCGGCTCCACAGTGCCAGACTGCAGGCTCTGGGGTGGTGGCGGTGGTGGGTCAGAGACTATCTGTGAGAGTCCTACAGTAGGGTGACAGTGTAAGCCCAGCCCCCAGCCTGAACTCAGTGTCTTTTCACTCTTCTCTGTAGTGTTGGGAAAACCCACGAGGACAAGGTCCGCTACCACCCGTTCCGCATGACACCTTACCTCGTCCAGGTGCGAGATGCCCGGGACCCTGAGAGCCAGCTCGGCTGTGTCCTGCTGGCAGAGAAAGTTCACTCCGGCTATGAAGGTAACCTCCCACTGATGCCTAGTTACAGACTGCTGTGTGTCACACGGTAGTCACCATCCTTTACCACCCCCGTAGCTGGCCAGGCGTCCAGGTGTTCATGTGGTAACCCTGTAAGCGTGAGGTAAAGTCAGGTGTTCACAGAACGTGCTAAAGGCAGGTGCCAGATGTAATACTAAACCGCTAGGAGTCTAGTTTATCCCTACGTAGTGACACTTCTAGTTTCCTTCCAGTGAGTGCTGAACTACTTTTTCTTTTTTTAAAAAAAAAATGATAGAAATGTTGTTTGGGGCATGTGACTTTCTTTCTAATGGCATTCCTGTGTATATACAGCTCATTCCTAAATATTCACTTAGGACGTCTCAGGTTTACTCACCTTTTCACAAGTTGTTCCACTAAGTGGCTAGTGTCCTTCAGGAATGAAAATGTTTAGCGTTTGAAATGTTTTGTCCACATATTCAGTAGTTTGAGGAAGATGCTGGGCCTATCGATCACTTTTTTTACTCAGATCAGTCTAGTACATGGCCCACCACAAGGATATCTGAGCATGTTGAATCAAGTTACTTGAGTTCTTCGGTTAAGAAATCATTTGTTCAGACCACGCTTGCCTGGCTGTGAAAATCGTGATGGCGGACTCACTGCATGGTTTGCTAAGAGAGGCCTACCTGTCCCTCCATGTGGTCTGCTTGTTAACCTTGGGATCAGTCTACTGGGGTCTAAAGCTAGCCCTGGGGCAGAAGTGGCTCGGTGGGAGAATTCTCTTGCTCCATGTAGGAGAGCAGGTCAGATTCCCGGCCTGTCTGGACCCCTTGTTGCTAGAATGCTGAGTAACTGTCAGCAGTACTTCCAGACAAAGCTGGATAAGGTAGAGAAACCTGGCTCTCTGTTTCCTCACAAGGTTCTGGTCCACATGAGGTCACCGTGAGCTGGCCATCAACTGACGGCTAGAGCTAAGCTGGGTCACAGCGAGAGTTAGAGGGGGCCAGGCCTTATCGTCCAAACTCCATTTTGTGCCTTTTCTATAGGTCCCAGGACTTGTTCTGTGCACTTGCCTGATATTTTGTAGTCGTTACAGTTAACTATAACGATTTGATGCATTAAACACTGAAGACCAAAGACCAGAGGAGTTGTGGGATGACATCAGAGAACATCATACATGATGAAAGCAAAAAGTCATTAAGAAGACAAGAAGGTAGGAAAAGGTCAAAATGGATGTCAGAAGAGACTCTGAAACTTGCTCTCCAGTGTAGAGATGCTAAAGTGAATGGAAGAAATGAGGAGGTCCTAGAGCTGAACAGAAAATTTCAAAGATCAGCTGAAGAAGATAAAGCCAAATATTACAACAAATTATGCAAAGATCTGGAATCAGAAAACCAAAAAAGAAAGAACACACTCAGCATTGCTCAAGCTGGGGAAATTTTTCTGAAGCTGGGAAAAAGAACTGATGAACAAATTCAAGTCTCAACCTTCGTTATTGAAAGATTCTCAGGGCAAATGATTGAAGGATGCAGAAAGCATCAAGAGAAGATGGAAGGAATACACAGAGTCATTGTACCAAAAGGAAATGGTTCATGTTCAACCTTTTCAAGAGGTAGCATATGACCCAGAGCCAATGATACTGAAGGAAGAAGTCCAAGGTGCATTGAAGGAATTGACAAAGAACAAGGCACCAGGAATTGATGGAATAAAAATTGAAATCTTTCAAGAAAGTGAGGCGGCACAGGAGGCACTCACTCATCTCTGCCAAGAAATTTAGAAGACAACTATCTGGCCAACTGATTGGAAGAGATCAATATTTCTGCCCATTCCAAAGACAGGTGACCCAATGGAATGTGGACATCATTGGACAATATCTTTGATATCCCATGCGAGTAAAGTTTTGCTAAAGGTAATACAGAAATGACTGTAATCATACATTGACAGAGAACTTCCAGAGGTTCAAGCTAGATTCAGAAGAGGCTGTGGAACGAGAGATATCATTGCTGATGTCCGATGGATCTTGGCTGAAAGCAGAGAATATCAGAAAGATGTTTACCTGTGCTTTATTGAC